AAAACATTCAATGTTGGGCAGCCCTTAATGTAGTTAAAGCCTAATGAGCGTTCGAGATTGAAAAACTAGATATGGGTCTTTCATGGAATTACCCAATGGGGTCACAAATTACAAAATGAACCAATGGACCCAAATTTTGTATTAATTGTCATTCTAAGAAAAAATAGGTTTCTTTAGTCCAATAGGACAAACAATTTTATTATTTAACCCAATACTGCACAAAACAATTTATTTCGGAATAAATGACATTTGTTACAGTGACGAGTTTCAATAAAAAATAAATTTTCAATCAAAATTTTTTATCCTGATGTGATAAAAGTTAATAAAAATTATATTTTAATACAACTCATCATTTTGATGTGATAAGTTTTAATAAAATATATTATTTGGATAAATTGAACACCTCAAGGTGACGAGTTCCATGAACAATATTAAAAATGAACTCCACTTTACGCTGAATTTCACCTTAGTCTTTTAATTTAGGGAATAATTCTATTTTTGATTTCGCATTAAGATGCTCGAGGGTTCAAATTGATTATTCGATTCAATAATTGGTTAAAATCAACTAGGGTTAATATTATAGCCTCCATTTTTTTAGGTTTAGTCCTTTAAGTTCTTTAATGTTCATAATTTGACACTTTAAGTTAGGAAAACCTTAATTAACCCACCTAGCATAATTAGGTATTTAAAAGGTAGTCTGATTGCATCTTTATTTTAAAATAATAAGACAATGTTGAGTTAATAGTGTATCTTTTGAATTATGCTTAGGGGACCGTAGGTAATTCCTGAAGTAGATGAACATCATTTTCAAAACCCCATGACATGATTTATTAAAATTTCGAGACAATGTTCGTTTATTGGGGGTTAATAATTGAGCTTTCACATACATGCTTGAAGGAGAATGTTATCGGTCTCAATAAACGAGTATCATTTTCAAATTTGCATCCATATTGATTTTTAAGTTAAATAAAATCTCAAACTCGAAATTTTTGATTTTAAATATAGGGTAACCAACTAGGTACCAATTTTTGGGCTCTGTGGAGGTGCTAACATTTCCCTACGCGTAACTGACTCCCGAACCTGATTTATGGTTTTCGCAGACAAAACTGGTATTTTTGATAAAATATTTTTTTTATTAAAATTACCTAATTTTATGTGTTTCAATCGCATCTTAAAATGATTGGTGACGACTCCAAACATTTTTCAAAATCATTTTAAAAAATCCTATCATCGTAACTAGTCGGACTTTCTCCCGAAGGACTAGTTGCGATAAAAAGCTTATGCTATTTTCATATATAATTTATTCGTTTGCCTATTGGGGAATAAAACCTGAAAAACTATTCGTCGGCCCAAGATATCATCATATACCAAAATTTGATCCTTGAGTCTCTCCTCTCCAAATCCGTGTATGATATTTTAAGTTATAAATTTACTATGCACTTCTTGAATTCCAAAATATTATTTTTAATTTAAATTGTACGTAGACAACATAATTAAATTACAAAATTTTAGTATGATTAAATCTAAGAATAAGAAATAATTCTACAACTTACATATAGTATAAGGACTATAGTAAAAAATTACAATTGAACGTGCTATCGTTTGTGTTAGGATCGTAATTTTGTAATTTTAAAAATATAAAGATTAAAAATAATCAAATTAGAATAAAGGGACTAATAGTAAAATTTGACCAAAATCTTACGAATTTCTTTTTTAGTATGCTTATGGCCAGTTTAAAATTTTAGTTGAAAAAAATGATTTTCAACATAATTTCAAAAGTTCAAATTTATAACTTTTGTTGTATAAATTATATTTTTATCTTTAAATATTATATTTTCAATTTATAATATAATATTTAAAAATGAATATTTTATCTTTTCAAAATAATGAATTAGTATCAATCTCAAAGAAATAAATTTTAAATTGCACATTCCAAAAATATTTTTAAAAGTAAAATTTTACAATACTTTTTAATCACCTTTCAAAAAATCACTTTTTCATTTCCATAATCATTCCCAAATTGACCCTTGGTGTTACTAGAAATTTTCTTTTTTCGAAAATAGGATCTTAATTGTTCATTTTAGTACCTAAACTTTTATTTTTTTAAACTTAATATTAAGTTTTTAACATGTATTAAAATAAAACAAAATCTAAAACGTTAAGCATGATTTTAAAAAAATTGAAAGTTTAGATACTAAAACAAACCAAAATTAATCATTTATGCGCTAAACACATAATTTACCCTTTTCATAAACAATGATTAAACCTCTAACTTCGGAAATAGAGGGTGAAGTGAGCAACTATCACTTTACAGTTCATAATTATATAATTGTAGGTTTTAGAGGGATTTTATATTGGCATATATGCTTCAAACAATGTGCATATTGGTTCTCATATTTTAAGTTTGGTTGACATTCGCCATGTTTGCAGGCTTAATGGCGTCAAGGAGGGTTACATATAATCATACATTTAAATTACGATTAAAGTTATGTTTTTAATTACATTGTATTTATCGTGATTACGGACATATGAAATATTATTACAATTATTATAGATATCACAATTATACAATAATAATTTCGAACAACACTACTACCTTTATATAACAACCTCTAGCCAACCATTATTTAAGTTTCTGTATATAACATTGTTATACAATATTTTGTAGGGTTAAACTACATCATTTCTCATTGAATTTTTTTTTTCTATTTCACTCGCGTAATTTCAAATTTTTTAATTAATTTATTAAATTTTGACATTGCTCCTAATTGGTACTTTTACTTATTTTATTATTATTTTTTATGTGACGTGACAGTCTTATTATTATTATTATTATTATATTAATAAATATAGATTAAAATAAAAATATATATTAAATTAAATTAAAAAAAAACTAAAATCATATCTAAACCCAAAAATTATATCAAAACCTTAAATTACAAACCCCCACCCCCACCTTCGGCAATATCACCCTCACCAACCTGCCCCTTCCTTTCCGATCATCCCCGTCCACCGGCACAACACTTTCCTTTTTGGTCATCCTTCATCCACCGGCACTACACCTTCCGTTTCATCCTAACCTCTGATTTTCTTTTAAAAAACGCCACTATAAATTTGAGTTGGGTCGAGATCAGTTGGATTCGGGTATTTTGAGTTTTTGACCATCCCTATCTTTACCACCTTTGTTTTCAAATCATGCATCATTTAATATAAAAAATTACATTATCATCAAATCTCTCTGCACATTTGTTATAATTATCATCATGGAAGGATTGGCCTACCTTCCCTTTACAAAAAAGATATCTGTCATCTTCTGCAGCTATATTGAGCATGTCATAGGTAGGGTTCATTTTTATTTTTAGGGCACAACGTACGTCATAAACTCCACTTAGGAGATGTTGATCAAACTACAAGAATTTGTTCAAGCTTCCATTTTTACTTTCATTGTTGGATCAGCTTTTATATATATAGAGAGAGAGACTGATAATATATATTTATTTAGATATTTTAATTTATTTTAATTTTACTTCTTTTTTATAATTAAAAATATTTAATCATTGATACCGTACACACATTACATTAAGAAGATTTCATAAATATTTTATTTCGTGTATATATAGAGTTAATATTCACTTGCATCTAATGTAAAACTAAAAAAATTTATATTTATATTTTTTAGGATCGTTGGATGGATGAAAATAAACAATTGAAATTATCTCATTATTTTTTTCCTTGTAAGTATTTTTTCATTTCTTATCGTTAATCTCAAACTTCTATTTTTCTTTAGGCTTCCTAGTGCTTTGCTAATGATAATAATCCATTTCTCCCATTCTTACATTATAACCTAGTTCAACACTTTGTAGACTATCAATTATTAACGGCGTAAAGTGAGAAATTTTACTTAAGTCAAGGGAAGAAGATATGCCCTAACCCTCACTTTACTTAAAAAATTATTAATAATGCAAATCTTTTACAAAGGATATAATATAATATCTCACATTGCATGCTTTTTTCACTCTTTCTCTTTATTCCCCACCACTGTCTGTTTTAGTTGTATTTGGTGCGTTGTTGTTGTCGTTAAGGATAATTGGAAGCACTAATGCTCCATAAAACCTTATTTTAATGCAAACCTAATTGGTCCTTTTGACATGGTTTCTAGGGTTAGGCCATGAAAAACTCCCCCAATGGCCATACATTTTTTCATGTTCCCATCTTTATCCCTAGTAAGATGGTTGGCATCAAACGACCAACAATGATGGTGCAAGTAATTTACGGATCCCTATACTAAGGTGTGAATTTCATTTTGATCATTCTTTTAAAAAAATCACGTCTCATGTTCAAGGTTCCGAGGTACTCCTCCCAACAATGTCATCTCTAAAATTTAAAGTTAAGTTCTCCTTTTAGAAGTATGTTGTGCCTTACTTTCACCCTAGTATTTATTGGTTATCATATGTTATTAGAGGATATTATCTGTTTAGAATATTTTTTAGTCATTGATAACGTACACACGCATTACATACGTAACTGCTCAAACTCAGTTCTCTAAAGAGAATAACATTTCATTTTACCACTAATGTCACTTAATGAGTCTATCTTTTAACTTGTTTTAAAGTATACGACTAAAATGTAATCCGTACAAATGATACATGGATATGTACCACACTTTTATCCATCCAATAAGATAGAAAAATCGAGGGTATTCTCCTAATTTCACTTAAGTGTCACACTCAATACTATTGTTTTAAATAACTATCTAATCCACTTACTCATTAGACTAGGTGCCCCAACAAAAGGAAAAGTGGTATCGTCAACCTTTTTCTTATAACTTTAGAATTTTTTAAACTTGAAAAAAATACAATAAGAATGCATTCTTCACAATAAAAAACAAAACCCAGTTGTTGGTTCATCCCTAAGCCTATAGCTCTTATAGCAAATGTAACGTTGGAGCTAATACAAATATCCCTCTTGCGATTTGCTCCATATATTCACACTTGAATGAGAGAATAATTGCTTAAACATGCATAATCTGAAGAAGATTGTTCTACTTTTGTTCTTGGTTTCGGCTTTGCTTTTATCAACTTCGATGGCAGGTGGGTTCTTCTATATCTTTTTGAGCAACTTTTTAGTCTCTGGTGCATGTCATGCACGCTTTGTCGATTAAAATGTTAAAAATTACTATTTTTAAAGGGTTTTTTTTGTATATATAAAGACGCTGGTGAGAGCAGATTCAACCTTGATTTTTAGGGGTTTTACCATGCTTTTGCTACATAGAATAATGGGTTTTAAAGATGATGGATCAAGTATTTTGCATGTTTAATAGTATACAGGGTGATTAGGGTTTCAATATTTAGATGATGGAATTGGGGTTTACAGGTCGACATTCTAAGTTCGTGAATAGGTTGGTTAAGGAAGAAGTTGATGCAGCTCTTGAGGTTCGTACTGCATTTTCATCAATCTCTCCCCCTTTTTTTATTTCGATTTCGATTAAGTTTAGAGCGGAGTCGGATCGGATTTTTCATCAGACTAGAACATGAGAACTACATTTAAGAGACATCGAACTTCTTATTACTCTACCCAACATGCTAACTATTAGGTAGGGTTTAAACCTACCTCGCTTTTCTAGGGTTTTTCTAGCGTTTGATGAATATATATATATATATATACACTATAATGAGTTTAGTTTTCTATTGATGTGAGTGCAGGAGAGCGGGGAAGGGGAAGGAATCCATGAAAGGGTGCTTAGAGTGAACACCAAAGACTATGGAAAATATGATCCATCACCGGCTCTTGTCAAGCCTCCCTTCAAGCTCATACCTAATTAAGTGCCTCATCTACCAATTTGGGTAAAGAGCTTGGCCCTCTGCTTCGTCACCCTACTTGGAGAACATGAAGCATTATCTATTATTACATTATAATTAATATAATAATTAGTAATAAATATATTGTATTATATGTCATATATATTGTAATACTAGGTTTAAGAAGCTTAATGCTTTGTTTCAAAGTACAGTGAGTGTAAGAGAGAGAGCCATGGACTGAATCTTATTATGTATTATGTGCGACATATAAATATTCTATTAAGTAACGATGTGCCATAGCCCTTCAATGTTAACTGTTCCTACCTAATCATATAAAATGTGTGTTAATATATATAGGGTAAATTACTCATTTAGTATCTTAACTATCAATTTTGATCCGTTTTAGTATCTAAACTTTTAATTTTTTTCAAAACCATACCTGAAATTTAGTTTTATTTCACTTTAGTACCACGCCATTAAAAACTTTAGTTTATATTTTATTTTAGTACCCCCATTCAAAATTTAATATTAAGTTTTGAAAAAATTGAAAGTTTAGGTATTAAAAATGACCAAAACTGATAGTTTAGGTACTAAACGAGTTAAGTTTTTAACGGTGGGGGACTAAAATGAAATGAAAACTAAACATTATATATGGTTTTAAAAAAAATTAAAAATGTAAGTACTAAAACAGATCAAAACTGATAGTTTAAGTATTAAAGTGTGTTTACCCATATATATAATTACTATAATCGAAATTAAATTATAATGTTGCTAGAATCAAATTAGTCAATTGAATTAATAATTATTAGTTTGGTCAATTAACATAAAATCATATATGAAGAAAATCATTTCAAACCGTTTAGAAAATGGAAGCAAGAAAAAAAATAGTTAAAAAGCTATATTTTTTATTTAATATTGTCGAACTCACAATTCAACAAGTAAAATCTTGTCACACCCTAAATTTTAATTTAAAATATATGTTTAATTTAAATAAGGGATCAAAATGGATAATTTTAAATATTTTGGGTCAATTTCGAATATATAGTAAGTTTTGGGACTTGGTCCGGATTTTACCCTATATTGGCCAGTAGAAAAAAAACCCAAAAACCAAAATCAGAGAACCCCTCTCGAGCGTGAACCAACCCAAAACACCCAGTTAACCCAAAAGCCATCCCCGTCGTCCCATCATCGACCAACCGTCTTCGGCCAGCGGTGGAGTACACCGCCACTGTCAACCGAACTGGCGTCGCTCCCCGTCCAAACTTCAATTGTCATCGACTTCAAATCGGCCACCGTTCATCGCGAAGAAGGATAAACTTCGGGTCCTGAATCGTTGATCTTGGCTGCCACTCGTCGGTGAGAGACATCGCCGACACATATAGAAGCGCAACCTCGCTCCGATCCAACCCCAGCCGGTCACTCATCAAAATACCAGCCTTTCGTCAAGGAGAAACGTTTGAAGGCCCGTTGGAAAAACCAAAGGTTTTCCTTGCTGTTCGTCGCATTTTCGACCGATACAGTCAGCGTTTCGCCTCACGCCTGCCACCGTTGTGCTCCCCAGGTGGTTCCAACCCGATTGGGGATTGTTGCCTTGTCGTCTTTGCCTCACCGTCCAACGTGGGTAATCTTCCAATCGCTTTATTCAATTATTTTCATCGTGTTTTTGGTTGATAATATGTTGATTTGGGTTGTTTTTGGTGTTTGGTTGCTTGTGGGATGTTAGGTCGTCGTCCCCGACCCCATCGTCATCGTCACATGTCGCCATGCACCATCGCATACGCGTGGGGCTCCTCCCTAGCTTTGGAACCTATTAGAACTGGTTAGAGTCAACTCGAATCGGGTTGAGTGAACAAGAACTGACCCAAGTCAATCCTAACCGGTTTGATTTGTTGACTTTAACTTGATCGTTGACTAGATTCATTGACTTTGACAGTTGACTTTTATTAAAAAAATATTTTTTTTTGAAAACTCTTATTTTATATTTTTTAACGTCTTAAATTTAAATCCGAAATTCATTCTGTTAAATTTTAACCTAAAAACCTCTAAATCGACCTTCGAACCTGAACTTGCATAGTTAATTTAAATAAATTGGTTAAGGAGAATTTTGGAAAGGTCAAGTATTGATTTACGACTCTGATTATGATAGGTACCTCCTGACCCTTTGATTTCTCGGCCAAACTCCTCTCTTCCGTCCGACCGCTTGAGTCATGATTACCCGTATGATTCTGCAACTTTGTTAAAAACTCTGTTAGTATGTTATTCCAATAGTAACACTGTTCTGGTTTGATTTAGGGTGGTGTACTATTGTTCGTAGTGAGACCAATGCTCCATAGATCTCTCAATCTGATTCTTTTTGCGATGTGTTCGTTGTGTGCTATATATATATATATATATATGTTTTGCTTTCTCTTTTAGTTTTGAGTGAGTGTGGAACTGTGGATACCGATTCTGAAAGTGTTATTATTAGTCTACAAACTGTAACTCGCTGTCTCTTGATTTTTTTTAACTGATTAGAGTTTATTTTTCAATCCATAATGGTAGTAATTTCTTTCTATTTTTAGAATTTTTTTCTCTGTTCATATTGATCCCTTTTTTTGACTTCGATTTAGTAAGAATTAGAGCTAGATTTTAAAGCCAAGTGCTGCGATATTCTTATATTTTATTTTTAGCGTCTAGAATTATCAATAAGCTTATTGCTGTTTTTCTTCTGTTTTTGGTCAGTAAACAAGGGGTTATATCGTCGGCAGTTCTCCCAGTAGAGTGATGCTGAGGATGTCGTTGTTGGAGCTCGTTTTACCAGTAATGTGAATGATGGTTGTTTAAATACTGTTAGAGCATCGGTTTTAGTTGTGGTTGATCATGGGGGCTGCTTGTTGTGTTGCAGCTAGAGACAAAGCTATTGTAAATGGATCAGGCAATGAGCTTTTACACAGGAATACAAGGTGTTCATCAACGTGGAGTTTTCGTTGGGATAACCGTGGGCGTGTAGCGGGTGAAGACACTTCTATAAGTTGGTTCTCGGATGCGATTAGTCGGGACGATGGATCAGAGGTCAAATATGAATCTGCAAGTGTTTCGGAGGATGGAAGTGTGTCCGAGAGTTTTCAGTCTCGGACATGGAAAGAATCTCCTACTTCAGAAGGAACTGGTGGACAATTGAGAACTCCCGATTCAGGTAATCTCCTTTGCTGCTGGTCTAAGTGTGAATCACGCTTCATTCAATGATGTTGGGGCTAATTTTGAACGTTAAACTTGTTTTCCTTCTATTACCGTACCATACAGGAGCATAGTAGCTGAAATAGATAGATAATGGCTGAAGTAGACATAGAAAAATGTTTCTGATCAAATATCAGAAAACAGACAGGCTCAAGCCGTTAGAAGCACCGGAAAGGAACAATAATGCATAACTTAGTTAAAACTGAAGCTTCTCTCTCGCTCTTTTGGAAGATATGAACCGTATATCTCATAGGTATATTAGGTTACATCTTTAGCAATCTCCTGAGAATCTTGCTTGATAAAGTAGTTGCGTGCATAACAGGATTACCATCTGGCTTGGCATGAGATTTGCTTTACTTGTCTCCTTTGCTAGTGTTATTCTCTTGCTGAAAGAAACAGGTCCTCTGTTAAAGGATGTCAGAAAGGTTCTTTTGCAGTTATTATTTCTAACGATCTTCTACATATATTATGCAGATCAATCTATTTCAAGAAATATATCTGTTGATGTGAACTTAGAGCAAGTAATGCTATTTCCTGTAGGTGCAGTTTCATGTCTGTTTCCTATTATGTGATCAAGAAATCTGGTTGTGTTTCAGGTGAGGGAGTCAATAGAATCCCCAGCATCCTCATATCTGTCTCGTCCTAAGTTATCAGATTCTTTTCCATCAGCTTCCTCCTCAGCTACTTCCCCTTTGTTATCCCAGAGTCATACGCATCGTACCGGTTCAACAACAACAAGGTCGCCTCTGGATTTAAAATCACCTAATAGGTACTCGGTTGGTGAGGAAAAGCCAAAGGTGCCTTCATGGAGTAATGAATCAACTGGTGGCTCTCGGGGTTGTTCTTCCGATGGTTGGTCTATGCATGCCTTTTCTGAACTTATGGATACATCTTGTAGGGAAAGGTGGTCTTTTGATAATTACACATGTGTTTCTCATCATGAGAAGGCAAGCACGTCCAGTGGCCGAATCTCAGCATCTTCCTCTGTTGATCTGCAAACATGTGGTGTTTGCCCAAAGCTACTATCGGAAAATTCTTTGTGGAGCATCCAGAAGGTCATTATTAGCAACGAGCTTCCTGTTGTTGCTGTTCTAACATGTGGGCATGTTTACCATGCTGAATGTTTGGAACATATGACCCCTGAAATCGACAAGTACGATCCAGCTTGCCCAATATGTGCACTGGGGTAGAAGACAACACGTAAATTATCCGAGAAAGCATTTAAAGCAGAAATGGGCTTTAAGGTTAAGAACAACAAAAGATCAAGGAACCAAGTTGTTGGCAGTGATATTGACGATGATCCTACTGTATTTAATCGTCCGTGAAAAAACGGACTCAAAGGAAAGGCCTCCAGTTCGAACATGAAAAGCTCCTGGAGCAGGTCGTTCCTGTGGAAGCACTTCTCTTTTGCATCAAAGGAAAGTAGGTCCCCTTCAGAGAATCACTATACCCAGAAAAAGGCTCTTTTCTGGACCAAATCTAGCTAGACATGAGCTCGTGTACAATTCGTTTTCTGTTCAGGCCAAGGTATTTATTCGATTTACGAATAAAACTGCCTTTCTTATAGCTCCGATGTCACGGTGATTCGTTTCTTTGCAGCCCTGTTGAATAGGGTGCCAGGGAAGGGCCATTCTGAAGAATTCTCAACACCATTATGAAGTTTCACTGACCCGATTTTCAGGTGGAACTTGCACTAGTAAAGAAGATATTGCTAATTTACAGGTGAAAAGAATAGCCATAGTACCGTAGTGATATTATTCTTAGTTTGTACAGATTGACCTGTTTCATGCTTTGGATTCATACAGGACATGATTCATGTGAATTTATGTATGGCTAATTGGTTCTGGATGTTTTTCCCGGAAAGGCATTTGTTTACTCTTCTCGTTTTGCAACTGCTCTGGGTATGATTATCCATTTCAGTCAACGTGCTTCATGGCAAAATCTTGAAGATTTTACCTGTTTAGCTAGCTGAACAAATAGGCCATGA